AGAGACATTTATATATAAATTGAGTTTTGGAAGTTTTACTCCTTGTGTTTTAGCAGTTGTAAGTAGGACAAACTGTCTAGAGAGGGGAGCTATCCATGTAAATGGAATAATCACCAAAGATTTCATGAGGAAATCAGAGAGTGATCCGTTCCTTGGCAAAAGATATCTACATGGGCTGTAGGAGGAGGGCATCCTAGGGAAGAGCCAGCACATGGACATGAGCTTTCAGGTGAGAGCGTGGAGTTCATAGATTTATCACATGTGTGGCTTTGGGGAGACATTCAGATGCAGTGTGGTGAGACCAGTTAACAGAAGGACAGGAGGGTAGGCAGAATAGCTGGTCCTGACTTGGAGACAGTGTGCAATCATAGGAGAATCTTGCATGATGATGCTAGAGAATTATTGCACCAATTAAAGAAAAATAGAATAGGGAGAAAAAGAGATTAAGTGTTCAAATAATCTAGAAGGTACAATAGTTAATACATAGTTTAAAGAGGTTAAAAAGTTTCCGAAACATGATCTCTAAAGAAGGAAATAATAAAAGTTATCTTTGGGACTAAATGGTGGGTCTAACAAAGTAAAAGAATGATGCACGTTATCTATAAGAACATATTTGAATTGTTCCCTGGGAAGAGAACTGCTGTCTTGGCAGATAGTCAGTGGCCCTATGACTGAAGTAACACATGGTGCAAATTGTAGCACAAAACGTATCAGTACTGTGTTCAAATCATCACAACCAGCAGCATTTGAGGAGCTGTCCCTGGTACTCCCGCAGGCTGGACACTGAGCCCACCTTCTCCCTGGGACCTGCCTATGGGGTCCTCAGGATGTGGGCTGCACTCAGCTGGTAACAGCTGTCCCCTAGCGGAGAGAGGCTGAATGGAGGTGGGTTGGTAGGGATGCAGTTTTAAATAGCTCCTGGGAACAGTGGATACCATGGAAATGATTTAGGAGTGTTGACAGAGAAAAAGAAACCAGAAAAATTTAAGAAAATAAAAATGAATGAATCACCACCAAAGAAGAAAGGTAGATGGTGTTCTCCCTCTCCTTCACACATTCCCTCCTTTATAAGCATACACATATATATGTGCACATTGCCACACACAGGCTGAGGCAGAGGAATACTGGCATTGCAGTGGTAAATAACAAAAGCAAGCTTGGGAACAATATATAAAAGATAATTGCATGTGTTATTAAGAAAGACAAATAACTGGCACTGTCACGTGGTTTCATGTTAATATATCTATCAGAATATACATGTATATTTAATTGTATATATATAATCTATCTATATTTATATGAAAATATTAGAAAAAACTAGATGTATGTTTGGCTAAATATTACCAAGCATTGTCTGTTGATGGCAATCTATAGGGTTGGGTTTTTTTCTTTCTCTCTTACTTGTCTATACATTTTTATTTTGGAAGGAATAACTGCTCAGTAGTTCCATAAATATTAAAAATGATTTATAAGAAAACATGACAATTTCAAACACTACTGAAAACCACATTTGATTCTTTAACTTGTAGTTACCCAAAGTCTATACAACCAATTTACAATTACTTATCAATTTTTCTTCGCCCTGAAGGCACCTCTCAATATATAATGTAAAACTGCCCCTCAGCTGTGATGGGCTCTAAATTGCAACATTTCTCTGCCAACAAGATAGAAAAGGGACTCTCCTGGGTCTGCCTGTGAATCTAGATATCCCAAGAGCCATTGGAGAGGTAGAGACCATGGTGGACCACACAGAGTCCCAGATGTGTTGCCACCGAGTGGCCATAATCACAAAAACTCAAGCCCCAATTAATCAGCATCTCCTGGAGCAGGGCCCAGGCAAAGGCATTTATTTTAGACATTCCCCACCCAGGTAATGCTGATGGGTCATCAACATTAAGAAGCACAACCCTAATGAATTAATTTCCTAAAGCGTCATTTGAATATGGCCTTTGAAAAGAGGGAAAATTAAAGTGGAGAGGAATTGGTTGACCAAGGCCAAGCCATTGCATGGCCCTGAGCCTTGTGAAGAAATGATTATGCAAATGTAGCAGCAGAACTCAGAGCACAGAGTGGGCAGGGCTTGCACAGTTAGAGGATTCAGTGGGGTCCTCCCTCATGCTCATTACAAACCCATGTCAGCTCAGGCATTTCTGGTTGGGAAAATGCTCTGTGCTGCAGCTTGCTGCCAAGAGTACCTTTTTCCCACAGATATACTGGATAGAAAAATTCAGATTTGATGCTGATGCCAGGACACTGAAGCCTTTTTGAGCCCCAGAGGCAGCCAGTGTTTTCTGTAAGAGTTTGCCACTCGATGCACAAGATGCACTGGACTTCAGCAGGAAGAATTAGCATAGAGCCGCAGCCCTTTTATTCTGCTTTAGGGCATCATTTAGAGTCAGTGTTGGGAGTGTGTCTGGCTTCTGTCCAGCAGATGGACAACAAGTGAAGGCAGGGGAGTCCTAGAAGCCTTCTGGTTTCTTTCTGCCCTTCTTTTTGCATGTGAGGAAACTGGACTCTTGATCCACACAGATCTCATAAGAGCAAAGTCCTAGTCCAAACACAAGTGTAACTTTCATTTAAGTATCTCAAAATTCAATAGAATTTTAGATTTGGGGTTATGGCTTTTCTCCAAGCAATAACACATGCAGGCATTTCTCACTCTGAATGAATGATGTTCATTGTGGTCACCCTTGCTGTTATCGGCTACTGCAGTTATATTATTAGCTAACATTGCACTCCCTGAAGACAGATGTGTCTGCCTTCTGCTGCATGCTTTCCATTTACCGTGATTAATTTGCAGTACCAACCTTCAAGGCTATTTTCTTTCCATTTTACTGTGGAGAACACTGAGGTCACGTGGGAAGAATGATAAAATTCAAGATGCTGACCTACTCCTAAGGCTGACAGTCAGCTATAGTTGCACATTGCTAGTAACCATAGCACCAGAAAGTCATGCCCCCTTCCTGTGTTCCTGTGTGGGCCTTGGTCCGGGGCACCTCAGCCCTGTTCCCTATTTCCTCTTTTAGAAATGTACCCAGCAGAGCTCTATCACCCTAGTTTGGTGTTGGTTTGGTCTTGGCCAGGCTATATTTAAAATTTTTCTGGGAGTCATTATATATTTCACCTATTTTAAATTTGGTTTGATTTTGTGACCTGGCATAATCGCCATCCCTGTGGTTCAGAAGGAAGACAATAATGTTAAGCTCAGCCAGAGCTGCAGACAGATGCTCAGTGTGTCTTCTTGCGTAGTGGCCGCAGTGCATCACGTCCGACATCTGAGCCTCGGCCTGCCAGTGCCGCTGCACCCTCGCCAGCTGCTTTCAGACACCCCGTGATAAGCAAAAACTGAAGCTAGCTTGAACCAACCAAAGTCATTTCATTCTCCTTCTTGCGTGCATTAGCATCTGGACTTCTGCAGAGGCCAGCTGCTCAGGGGAAGTCTAGTGGCACTGAATCTGTGCAGGGAGGAGGAGGCAAGGGCTCTGTGTGTAGAGCTGACTACAAGCCTAACATGGCCATAGCAATGTACGGAGAGTATTTTCTTTTGTGGGGAGTTTTCATTTCAAAGAAGGACTTGCCAAATACCATCCTTCACCACCTCACTTTCCCTTTCCATTGATTTTTCTTCAAAAAAGGCTCATTTGCAGATGTGTGATATATGCACAACTTGGAAAGGCTACTTCTATAACCAATTAGATGATAAAACGCACAAAGCTATATGTAAGGCACACTGCATTTATAGACAATGAGGGTTTTCTGTCAAGATCAACATTAAATGTAGGCATAGGTTAAGGTACAAAAACCCATGGTAGATGCCCCGTACATTTATCTGCCTGGAAGGGCTCCAGTGCAGTCAGTTGGATAGTATTCATGAAGCTCTCAGAAGGAAGTGTGCTGGAGTTGGTTCAGTTAACAACATAATCCAAAATGACAGCGTCACTCTGGGAGCTTCCTTCAGGCACACAGCGCAGGGCTCAGGGAAGGTGATCTTGCAACAACCTCTGACATTTTGTGTTATCAATACCAGCCTCAGTCCCTACAGTTCTGTGGTGTTGCAGCTACACCCTAGAGAGGGACAATAATAGGGACAAAGGCCACACTATCCTCCTGAATGTTGGTGCAAAGTCTGAAGGGCAGTGGCTTCTGCAGTGTGTATTCCATGTTGATGTGAGGCAGGGCTGGGGTGGAGGAAACAGAGGTGTGGTGGGTCAAAGCCAAGAAAGCCGCAGGACCATGGATCCAAGGACTTGATATGCAGGATTCAGTCCTTGGTGCCAGGCGATGGGACGGGAGAGAGGATGGAGGCCGCTGGGGAGACTCGAGGAAAATGACTGTGCCAAGCCCTGTCTCTCAGCCTTGCCCAGAGTCTTTTCTTCCTGAACTCCATCTAGTGGGGCTCTGCTAAATACTGTGTTTATGAACTGATTCATTTTCTACTGACGCAGATGGTACACATTTTAACAGATAATGAAGACATGAAGTAAAGTGATTTCTGAAGTCCCCACCCTAGCAGCACCCAGAGTCCAGGTGAACAGATCCAGAAGCGGACTTTGCAACTCTGTATCACCTGTGGTTGCTGCAAATCAGTGCAGGCTCCCTTTAAATATTCATCTGCTGCTTTCTTTTGCTATCATCATACATAGTGAAATGGCATCTCTTACCTTGGCAGCCTTCTTACTGTATATAAGAATGGAATCGGGAACAAGCTCGCCATTCTCATCATGCTGATAAGAATCTTGCGCAGGCCACAGAGAAAAACACTAGTGAATCTGAAGGAAAATAAAAATTTTGAAAGTAAGCATCTTAGAAAAGCATTTAAAAGGAAGGAAATAGAATGTTAGAGTGAGAAAGAAAAGCATGGACAGCAGATTCCACATTATCTGCAAAAAAAGTAGAAAAATGTAAAATTTATAGAGGTAGATATAAAGTAATACAGGAAATATATCTACTCCATGCAAATTTATTAAATGCAACTTTCTTTTTCTCTTTCTTTCTTTTAGATAAAAAACCTCTTCATGAAATAAAACCCCAAAGTAAGTTATTTTTCCTCTTGTGAATATAATTTATTCTCATATTTGCTGCCTTACTGTTGTATTTGTTTAGGCACCGAGCAGAGTTGAAGTTCCTATGAAAGAGCCAGTGCTTTGGGGGCTTCGCTCTCAGTTTGGAGCCTCCTATCAGAGGTTTAAATCAAAAAGAAATATGCACGCCTCTCCCCTCCCTCAGAGCAAAAGTAAATCTCTCTTCTTTATTCTTTCTGCCTACAAGTCCACTGCTCTGAAAATGTCATCTAGGATTCTTATTTCTGGAGATTTATAGCATTAAAATTAATAAATATTTGTCAGCACGCGCTTTCATGAGAGCAGGCTTTGGGCCAAAGCCTGACTCCAAGGGACTCCATGGAGAAGGAACAGCAGGAGGCAGAGCAGGAAGAGGAAGAAGCAGAGCTGTAGCAACAAGCCCAGAGTTCCTCCTGCCATGGCCTCCATGGCAGCCGAGGAGACAAGGAGCCAGAATTCCACAGTGAGATTGCTAGGAGCTGATGCAGCGGCGCTCCCTCTCCCTACATGCAGGTTGCTTCCTGAAGAGGCCTGGTCCTTCTTTTCCCTTTTGCATGCAGTAGATTTGGAGAAAGGAACATGACTTAAATAATTGGCAGCTTGACCTTTGACGTTTCTGTCCTCAGTTTTGACTACTTTACAGTCATCTAGAGGAATTTTTCAAATCCCAGTTCCTAAACTGTATCAGTGGAATAGAATTTTCAGCAAATGGTTCTAGAACTCAGGGATCCGTATGTTTCCAATGCCGCCCAAATGAGTCTAATGTTCTACTGAGGCTGAAAACCAATCTCTTAGAAAAGTATCCTTCAAGGAGTAGATCAGAATCTAGGCATAAGGTGTATGCCTATAATCCTAGCAGTCTGAAAGGTCGAGGCAGGCAGAACTTGCAACTTATCATGAATTTGTCTCAAAATAAAAAGAGACAGACAGACAGACAGACAGACAGACACACACACACACACACACACACACACACACACACACACACACACACACGGCCTGGGTTCAATCCCCAGCACCAGGAAGAAAAGAAAGTGGATCAGAAACCACATGTATCAAAATCTTGGGATACCTGTGGTGTGAACTCATTAGCTATGCCCTGTCTCAGAACAGAACAGTTGAATTAGAATCCCCAGCAGAGGTTGTTGCTGAGAATCGATCTGTTAATATGCAGTGTTAATATTCGCTCAGATATAAGGAACCTCAAGATGTAAGGCGCCAGCCTTGCAGCTGTTATCACTAGCAGTGTTAGACAGCTACTCAGCTGGCTTAGTTTGTAAAGCTTGTGAAAGACGGCCCTGTCCAGATTCTCTCATTTTAGGATAAAATGACTGACTTCTTATCTTTTAAATTTAAGGACGTTAAAATTCAAAGAGCTTGGGAGAGTTAATAGCATTTATTAGCTAACTTCTTTGAAAGAATTAAGACCATGTGAGGAGAGATAGAAATCGGTGTCTTTGGAAGGGAATCAGGAGATATGCAGGAAAGATTCAGAAAGCCCGTCCTGCTGACCGAGTCTTCTGTTGCATCGGACAGCCTAGAGATACAATGAGGTCATTACTTGTAGAAGCTGAGAATTTTGTAAAACAACAAAAACAAACTTTCTTCTTTCTATTCTGTCAGCTGCTTTTAGAGGAATCTTGATCCCTAAGGACCAGCATGATTGATTTTGAACTTTTAGTAAGCTGGAGGTTGGGGGAACCCAGCTGCGCACGTGTATGCTTACTTGTGCGTGTGTATGTTGAGGAAAGAAGAAAGAAATGGGTCGCTGAACATTGGACCTATGCCTGTGTCCCTTGGGTGACGGTAGTGCCAGGGCGCCTGTGTCCTTATAGTCCCATGTCCAGGCCATCAGCTTGTTCTGGTATATGGTAAAAGCAAGATCATGGGTGGCCATTTGGTGGCCCGTGTGAAGGCTACTTAAAAATGCACGTGTGTATGTGTTTAAAATTAATTTCACGCTTAGTTTGTGAGTCCTGTGCCATTCTAATTTGGTTACATCTGCACTTCCAGCCATAAAGCCCACAGGAGCTATTTCTGGTCCTTAGGGACTCCGGAATTAGTTTTTACTTGGGGTTCTCGCTCCTGAGCACCATGCTTAATTGCTGGATACTGCAACGGAATCTCTTAAACTGTTTTAATTTGTGATTTCCCTAAAAATAAAACCTTAACAGAATCAATGTGATTGCAAAAGACTCCCAGAGGAATCCAGTTGAGGTTCTTTAAGCCGCATGGTTAGGAGTGCATTACCCAGACTCAGGCTGCAGTTGTTCTGTCAGAGTGGGGCTTAGTGTAAGTCCACAGGAATCATCACTGATGCAAAATCAAAGTCAATTATGAAGATAATTGGGAAACAACCTGCTCCTATATAGAGCTGCTCACGTGATCCTCCACCAAGCCTGCTGGATGAGAAACGTCGCTCAAAGCCTTGCACACTATCATCTAGAACCAGGCAGAGGACTGAGCTCTGAGTTGTAGGAAGGTGCAAAACAGAAAGTGAAGTCCTAAGATATCTGTTGCCAAATCAGAATGACAAATTGGGGGAAATATGCACGCTGCATAGCTCCTGAAAGCACTTATTGTAAATGAGATAATTTAATCAGTTACGTTTCCTAATGTACTAAACCGAATGTTTCATTTTCTGCTTCTGCACATCTTAAATTATCTTCAGGTGCTTTATGAGATTTAATCATAGTTAATAGAAACTTCATTACCATCAAATGTGCTTTCAATAAATGTTGTGTAACAATGTCAGGAGGTGCAATAAAATATAGTAGGCTGTGAATGGCAAACAGGAACCCCCAGCGTCAGACTGAAAAATGGTTCCGATTAGACAATGAGACTTGGCAGCTTGGAGAATGTGGTTTCCTGATGGGCAGAGAGCTCCTGAGGGGTGGCTGATTGGCCATGTTCACCTGAGTGGTGAACTAACAGGATTTAGCTTTCCTCGTAAAAAATAGCTCAGCAATATGTGTTCTCTTCTCCCCATGTCGTTGTTCTGTACCTAACAGAGATGAATGCTCAGCATGAATCCAATTAATAGTTCCAGAGCCCACTACCTCCAGGACATCTTCAGTTAAATATGTTCCCATAACCTTGATCTGAACCTCAAAATTGAATTTATGCTGCTCTGTCCCTGTCGCTAAGCTATTCTTTTCATCTCCTCTATTTCAGTGAATGGCTTGCCATCACCTTGGTTGGTTTGGGTCAGAAATGTGAAAGCCTCCTACTCACCTCTGTCTTCATCTCCTTCCACTCGGTATCTAAGAAATCATCTTAAGCTGATCAGTCTACCAAGAGAGATCTCCAGTGCATTTGCTTCTCCCCATTTGTGTTGCACTGAAATTCTTCCCTGTGCTCATTCAAGTTATTTACTGAGTGTTTACTGTATGTTAAAAGACGTTCAGGGATGGAGCATCAGCCTTCAGCTTAACACACACAGTTCCTAGTTTTCTAAGTGCTATGGAGATGGTATAAAGCATGGTGTAGGAAGATACGATAGGGTTAGGGTTTAGGGAAGGTTGCAGGGAGGGTTGCTTTTTGGTGTAAGATGGTCAGAGATGGTGTCCAGTAAAATTACATTTGAAAAGAGACCTAGGAATAAAGGAAAAAAAAAAAAACTCTGGGTATCTGGGGAGCAAGTATTCAAGGCAAAGGAAATAAGAGGCTGCAACAAATATGTGTTGGGAGCTTGCTCAGAGTCTGAAGGACATTAGTGGAGGCCATGATACTTGGAACAGAGTAACAGGAGCAAGAAGAGTGAAAATGAAGGTCAGAGAAATGGGTGAAGAGAAATCTCCACAGGGTATCATAGGCCAAGCTAAGGACTTTGGTCTCTCCTTTGAGAAAGAGGAGAATATTTTGAGGTCTTTATTCAGGATGACATGATCTAACATTTTAAAGGACAAACTAACTGCTCTGTTGAGTGCAAACCTATAAAGGATCAATGCAGAAACAAGGAGATCTATTACAGTCATCTATTATGACAATAAGCTGGTGTAATATCTAGGCTGCTAGAACAATGTACATTAAAGATGACTTCAGCTTGGTCCAAATAGTAATGGTAAGAATTGTTTAACCAGTATCTGATACTCTGAAGGCACTGTTAATGGACTGGGTGTCAAGTGTTTCAGATGATTCAGATGTTTGGCTGTGCAACAGGAGGGGTAGCGCTGCCACGGGGACAACTTGATATAACAGATCTGGAGGCAGAATCAAGAGTTCAGTTTGAGATGCCTATTAAATCTCCAAATGGAAAGGTTGAGTAGGCAATTGAATATATGAGTCTGGAGGGCAGAGGACTTGGCTAGCCAGTGACATAAATTTGGAGCTTGCCAGTGTCCTGATGATATTTAACACTATTAGGTTAGATGAGATCACTGGGCAATGAGTGTGTAGAAAGAAAAAGATCTAAGCAGAGAGTCCTGCTGGGCCCTGACACTTGGATATACAGGAGAGCAGAAGCTACTATGTAGAGTGAAAAGCAATACCATGCCTATATGAGGAACTCCACATGAAAAGAGAAGTTTAAAACTTCAGGCCGTTATCCTACCAGAACTCCTTCAGCCATCTCCCTATATCCAGTCTTGCCTTGCATCAATTAGTCTGGTTTTTCTAAAACCTAAATTCTAATCACATCACCTTCCTGTCTTATAGGAGCTTACCTTTGTTCTTAGAATGAAGTCCAGAGTCCTGACTCTGTGTTATGTGTGTACCCAGCTTTCTTCTAATAGTATCTGATTTTCTTGATCAGCTTAACTACTAAATATTTTCATTTCTGGATCTCATCATTGCTTTCTTTTCAGCCAAGCAAAGCTTTGAAGTTCTCTATGTGACTCTTGGACATTGTGCCTTTCCTTGCCTTATCCATTCTTTCATTTCTTCTAAAAACCTTTTTCTTGCACCTACCCCCTTAATCTGGTTATTGATTCTTCCTTCAGATTTGAGCTAGGTACCATTTTGGCAAGGCTTGA